CAGCGTTCAAAAAGACCATGGCGTGCATGAATTGGTGGCTCTGGCAAATGTATTGCGGTTGTCTAATCCTGAATGTCCATGCGTGGTTTCTTGAGAAAGCTCAAGGGAAAGCATACACACTTGTGCCAACGTTAGGACGACAGAACAAAAGCTAAAGATGAAAGCGGGCAATGTGACTGAATGATAGTTCCTTCTTGAGAAGACAAAAAGGAGCGAGAGCAGCTTACATTACCGTGGCCGTGGTGGTGGTATCAATACCATCAATCATCAGGTTTTTCTGATATCCGCCTGAAAATGGCACCTATCCGTGCCACTGCAAGTCTTTTGAGAGGGCAAAAGAAAAAACGAAACAACAATACTATACCATGGCTATCCTTAGGCTAAATAATATTATTTTTGAGAGGGCAGTTCGATTATAAGAAAAACGAAACAACAATACTATACCATGGCTATCCTACATTTTACTCCACGACGTGCGGCTAAATAATTCAGTTTTGGGTTGGAACTAAACGGGGATTTATTTTGAGCCACGATTGATAAGTCAGGCTGAGCGAGCGATAAATGCTCCGGTCGCAACCCCAAAACGGCAACAGGATTTTTTTTTTCTGATCCCGACGAGCATCACATCGCGAGCAGGCGAAAGCAGATTCCCCCCCGTCAGGCCGTCAGACGCCCGGCCGGCAGATCACCTCGCGCAGGCGTCCTCCTTTATTTGGCCTGTTCGCTAGGCTATCAGATACTGTTGATTAATTTATTATAAAAAATATTATTCGTTAGTCAAAAAAAATATGAAACTAACTAGCAATTTTTCTCCTCCGGCCGGGCGGCCACGGGGCCGAGGCCAACGCACGCATGCTGGGCTGCTGGCGCAGTGGCCGCGCGCGAGCACTCGCCCGCGTCCTCTCCTCCCGCATTTTGATGCCGTCACCGTCCAATCCTAACAGAGGGGAGCGGGCAGGCCCAGCACACTGCGCACACGGGCGGGCGCGGCGCCGGGCACACCACGTGCGGCTCCTCCGGGGCTCCCGGCTCCTCGGCGCCCCCCCGCGTCGCGGGGTGCGGTCTTCAAGTCCAAGTCCAGTTGGCAAATCAGGCGCGTCAGTGCCGGGTACGGGCGTCGGGTTCCACCACGGCGATTTGGATCGTGTCCGGCGGGCGGGCGTTGCCATGCCAACCGGGCCGGTGCGCGCGGCTGCCAGAGCGGCAGGTGCATCGTGCATGCATGCAACGCAAGCAGCAAGCGTAATAAGGGTCCAGTGATCCAGCTGAAATACGCTGCGCTGCGTGCATGCCACGGTCACAACTTTTGATGCGCCGTACTAGCTAGGCCGGGGCGACCCGGCTGGCTAGCCTGCTCGGGCTAGAGCCCAGGGTAGCCTCTAGCCCACTGTGCCGAGCTTTGTATGGTATCGCAGTCCGCACTCGGCAGGCAGTCCCTCCCCTCCCGGCTCCCACTGCAAGTGCATCGCTGCTTTCCACTACCAACTGCTGTAGCCACCCGGCGTCTAGCGCTACGGATCGGATCAGATGGGATCACGACTTGTTTCTAGTAGTAGTACCTGATGACTGATGACTGGATGAGTGCTGGACCGCGCTAGCGCAGAGAATAGATGTGCATCGACACGTCAGGCATTGCCCCTGGCCGTGTTTTGTTCTCTCTGTTTTCGCGCTCGATGCGGCGCCAAAGGGAACGGGGTAGATCGGGGCCGAAAACGACTAGACGTCGCGGCGATGGTGGAGGCGCGTGTTGGTGGAGCGGACAAATCGAGGTTTTCTCCCCGACGAGAAAGCCGCGCGAGGCCGAGCAAATCTTTGGGGACGGCCGGAAAGGGAGGCGTGGCGAGCTAAAATAAAAGCTCCCGCGGCGGCACATACACATTGGCATTGCACCGAGCCCGAGCGGGTGGGGACTGGGGGTTGCAGCCTGGACCTGGAGGTTGCCCCTTGCCCGACCCGGGAGGCATGGGTCGCTGCGTGCGGCCGCCGGGTGGTGGTGGTCTGGACGTCTGGTCACTGCTGGTCTGCTGGACGAGGATCACGTCGGACGTCGCCGAGAACAGCCTTTGGGAAAAGGCCACTCGAGTCCAGTCCAGTTCAGTCGAGTCGTGCTGGCTTGGCTGTTGGCTCGCTCCGAGTCCGAGCGGAGCGGACTGTTGACACGAGCGTGACTGATTGGAGATCTCCCGAGCACACTGCACACTGCACACAGCACGCGCGCGCGCGGCTGCTCAAGAGCGGCCACGTTGCGGCGCCCACCGGCGTCCCCCCGCCGCCGTGATGACACGCACGAGCGCGAACACAGGCATGTATATATATGTCCAAGTCGCGTCAACAGAGCCCGGCTCGATCGGGTCCGCAAGCACGCGCGTTTTGTGCATCTTTTCCTGCGGCCGTGCGAGCGAGCGAGGCTGCATGCCCCGCCTTTTGTTGCCGTCGGCCAATCGATGCACGCTAGGCGATCCACGCCGCCGTACTGCCGGGGATCAGCTGTAATTTGCAATCCTCCGGCCGTGCGTGCTCCTTAGATCGCGCTGCAGCCTTTTGACTGAGCGAGCATTTGTTAATGAACACGGCAGGCAGCTCCGGACTGAGACACCTGATGTGTTTCAAGTACGTACTGATCCTTTTCGTGTGTGTTTTTTTCTTTCTGTTCTTAATGACTTTGCTTTGTGCTCCTCTGGCTCCGACGTCAAATCGGTCGCGCCATTTTGAGGGGTTTCCTGCACGACGAGCGATCGATGATGCAGCATTGACCGTGTCAGGCGAACCGCACGGCCCTGAGAAGTGAGAACCAAAGTTGCTGAGTGTGGATATTAACTTCTATACCTTTACGGCTAGTTTTAGGCCGGCCCGGATTAGGGGTCCGGCCCGAAGACGACGCGCGGCCCTGTCGATCTGCTCGGAGTCCCGCGCAAGGAATCAAGGCAGACTTGGAGATCAAGTAAGATCCTGGTCGGTTAGAATAGGAATCCTTATTTGGCCACCTATAGCAATTGTAACCGATTAGGATTAGTTTCCAGATCTGTAACCCTGCTTCCCAGACTATATAAGGCGGACAGGGGACCCCTCTAAAAAACAATCTTATTGACATACAACAATACAATCAGACGCAGAACGTAGGTATTACGCCCTCACGACGGCCGAACCTGGATAAAACCTCATGTCTGTCTTGCATCATCATCTCGTTCGTAACTTGTACACCTATCTACCGATAATCTACTACCTTAGACATACCCCTGTCGACCATATTTCGTCGACACTGCGCACCGGCCGTGTCGCTCGCTTTTGCATCGCATAGCTTACATGACTTATTACACTTCGATCTTTCTCTTTCCCCTGGCAAGTAAAAGCACCGCAGGCAGGTCACGTACACGCGTGCTTCAAAAGTGGGCAGCTCCGGCCCGGTCGTATCGCTGCAAACATTAGTACCGGGGGCCGTCAATGCGAGCGTGCATGCATGCAACCGACTGGCCCTGTGCACTCGCGGTCGACCTACTACTACACAGCGACGCGCAGCTTCTTTTTCATCGAGACGTGTTTCAGTGTAGTACAGCATGTTCGATTGGGTGGTTCGTTTCGTCGCTGGTTCGTGAAGAAGTACTGCTGGCTGATTTGTGTGAGAGAAAAATACTATTCCGATTAAAAATTTACAATCGTTTATGACAAGTCACAGCCAAACGAATAGGCCGGTAGTATACGGCGTACAGGGGGGTGGCAGGCCTGCCTTTGCCACTCGCAGCGTCGGCGATGTCTCATGTGACAAAGCTGGACACATCGGTCTGCGCTTGCGCGGCACACGCAGCGTAGCAAGGGGAGGGGACAGGCAGTGTGCAGTGGCGTTACTTGGTGGCATGGCGCGCCAGTGTCAAGGTCTCCCGTGCTGAGGTCTCCAGTGCCCTGGCAAAGGTTCTGGGGGACCACGTACTCTTGGAGACAGTTCTTGCTCAGAGATGGATGCTTAATTCGGCATGTACTTGCTGGCCTATACAAGTATGCAACTACTTGTGCAAACATAGTGTAATGTACATAAGTGGGAAATGGAGAAACGGGTAGGCAATAGGTACGAACCCAATTTTGCCGATCCATCTCTGGATCATTCGACAATCGCCAACTTTAGCATAAAAATTGACCAAAACATGGGGGAAACATACAAAAATGCAAAAGGAAACAAAAGCTTTCCCAGCGAACAGAACCAATGGCTAGATTACAAACAGGCCGGGCTCGTGCAGAGATCAATGACACGAACACCACGCTATCCACTTAGATAACAGCACGAGGATTTATCATTGGGGAAAAAGGGGAGATTCCTGTGCGCTCTCAATGTGGAAGCTTGACCATGTAAGCACGGGATGGGTCACCAAAGAAACATCATCAATATTAGAGGATATTCTTACAGACCACAAAGTACCTATAAGGATTCAGGTATATAGAAGTAGTCACATGAATAACAGATCTACCTTTCAGAGTTGTCGCAAATGTTACATGAAACAGCCAAAAGAATATAGAAGATACACCAAACACATACCGTGCTAGGACACTAGTTTCAAGCTATTTTACAAAGTCATACTCCATTCCTAACATGGGCTTCCTCAATTGTCCTCGTCAAAATGTACTATTGTGCAGACTGCATTACAATGAATCCCATTACAGCATCACCAGACATGACTCAGATGGTCGCTGTGGCAGTGTGGGGTCAGCAGACAAGAAAACTTCCATATGGAGGAACTGTTTACCATGAACCAATGCCAACGGGAAACATATTACAAAATAGACTTTGTTCAAGTTAACTGACGTGTTATGTTCTGTAACTGTGTATGGAGGTCTATGAAGAAACAGTGCCTTTGGAAACTGTGGTACAAAAGAATGGGTCAACCTGACAAAACAAGCGGGATAATATCAAGAGAAGTTAGAACAGTCAATTGGTGCAGTTTAGAGGATAAGCACATACCTTGGATGAATAGTGGTTAAAAGACAACATGCAAAGATGTGGGCAAGATGCATCAATCAATCGGATGCTTGTCTGTTTGCCTGGTGGTGTATTGGGCAGAAATCAGAAGCAAGGACAGGAACGCACTAGCCACAAATATAGCATCAAACCAGCGGTGGTAGAAGTCAAATTGGACATCACCACCCAAAACATCAGTAATGATCACCCTGAGCACAAATGCATTAACAACCATATATTATATTGATGGAACTTGATCATGATTGAAAATTTCAAACCTTAAGAAACATAAAAGACATCAAAAGAAGCATAACATCATTTCATTCAACAAGGTTGTTCACAAGGGACCCAGAAAGCCAGAACCCCTTTATTTGTGACATCAATTGTTAAATTGACATATTCACTGTTCTTTCTTTAAGCCTTATATAAACTATCACATTTTAAATATCGTCTCCTTTTACTGGATTTTAAAAGGTAGTGCAGGATCATTACTGAAAATATATAGCGAAAATCAAGATAAACTAAACAGCTTGTTCAGTTATGGAATACCTATATTCATTTGCCAGGCTTTTTCTTATAAGAAGAATGGAAGATATGAAGTACATGCCCATGATCTCTGATAGGAAAAGGACAACATTGGTTGTCGACCCACTCCCAACTCTAGAAACTGCGAAGAAGAACTGCACAGAAAATGAGACACGACAGCTCAAGTTTAGAGTTAGATTCTTAATAGTTAATACAAAAGAAATCAAGACCACAGATCAATGGAAGGTACCACAAACTCATATACAAAATAGACGTAGCATCTATGAATAAATAATACTCACCTTCATAACATTTGCCAAGAAACCTCGAACAGATATGACAACCAACATCCCAATGAACATCAAAGATATGTACTGCAAGTACAACGCAGAAGCAGGACAAAGGTCAGAATCTCAACAAATATACAACTAGAAGAGGACAGCGATGAAAAAACAAGACAACCATTACATTTAAGAAGGCAACAAGTCATCCACGTTCTATTTATGTAGAGTACACTACATAGAGGCAATTTTTAGATTCATTTTGCAATTATTTCAGCTATGATATACTTACCTGAGATAACAGTGCAACATCAATGCCAATGTCAAAATGTCTCAGGAAAATTGTTATTGTCATTGTTACAGGATCAACAGAGCCTGACTGGGAGAAAGAAAATGTAGGGAAAATAATTAAAATGTTTGTGGATTTAAAAATATCAAGCAAATGCATTTAGATCCACAAAGGCTGAGAAGTTTGTACCTCCTTAAAGACTACACTCTGCAAGGACTGCAAAAAAAAAAGTAATATACATAAGGTTAAATCACAAGTGCGACATTTGAACCAAAGACTGAAAACAAAGTTCCATAAAAATAATCTTTGCAGCAACATGGTTAAGCTAGATAAAACTGTTCCAAAACGGAGTGATTAAACATATATTTATAATTATGCCCATCAAGTTCAGCATTTTCTGTGTGACTCATGGACTTATGGTACATGAAATGAGATGATTTGATGATGCGCAAATAAACAGTATATGCAAGATGTATCAATTTGGAGTAATACCTTGAGCATCTTATAAACACAATACACCGACAAAGCATATCCAAGTAGATTCTGAAGATGCCCTCTCCACGTTCGAGAATACGCAGCAGCTATCTGCAAGGCAATTGCAGGAGAGCACAGAAACAGCTATTACTTAGCCTAAGAAAGATCCACTGCAAACAAACATGCCCAATAGTCACTACTGTTAAATGACATGCAAGATGCAAAATTGCAAAGGACTGCGATGCTGGCCTCCCTGTACACTAAAGTAAAAGATTCTATAACAAAAAAGTGATGTAATTTGGAGTGTGGGTGTGGGAGACAAAAAAAAGTAGTTAATATCACAAAAACAAAACTATTTGCGTCTAACCACAAAGGAACTACAACTTCTAGGATCACTACACAGTACACAGAACTACAACTACTTGTGCAATCAGTTTCACAATCCCACAACATTTGACATTCATTCACATGGCAGCCACACAAGTTGGCATAGGTCCCCACATGCAAAATGTTGTAGTTGCTTGAAACAGATGCCTCAGTTAGTTTTAGTTTTGAGAAACTGATACCTGAAGTTGTAGTTCCTTGATACTTTTGTGCACATAGTTGTAGTTTTGTGAAATTAACTCAAAAGATAAAGTCCTGTGAAATTTGTGGGAGACGAAGAGCTATGGAAAAACACAGACTCATCTACGAGACTATATCACTATATAGGGCAAAAAACAAGGAAAAAAAACTGAGACAGTGAAGTCTTGTTAGAACATTTATGTTATTTTTCTAAGATTTTATGGCATAGAGTATGGACCACCAGCTATATCACTATCACTGAATACTTATTGATGCGTCAATATCACTATCATATGAGGATTACAGCTACCAGATGATTTGTAAGATACTAGGATGAACAACAAGGTTGAGAAAGTAGTGGGGTGTATACAACAAACTAGTACAAAATGTTATCACTGATAGTTAGATATCATTCATGGCACACACAAAAAATACCTTAGCCTGACGGAGTTCATATATCTCAAGGAACAGCTGTTTGGAAAGCTCTTCCAGTGCCTGGACTTCTGCTTCTAAGTTTTTTATATCTTCAAGATAGAACTGGGAATTAATGCTTATCACCAGCAAAGAAACATGTAAAGCAAACAAAAGCAGGAAACAAGGATACAAGTATACCCTGCTCAGTTTGATCTTCCTGCACAGATCTGACGACAGTTCCCACTATACGCTTCAGAAACGATCTGGCCTTTAGCTTCTGCAAGTAAATGTTCTTTATTCGCTCATGCTGTACATGGTATGCATCAAACAACAAAAGAATTTGCCACTTGCAAGTTGCAACCCCAGTGTTGTAACTTATTCCATTTCGTGTTAGATGGAACAATCCATTACCCCTTTGATTCCAATACATTACCACATTCCAAAACATGGCAATATCATGTAGTCAAATCTTTCGAGTTCTAATATTTTTTACCTAGTGCATATTTCCATGTAAACCAATGTGAAGATAGGATTATTTTCTCTGAAACATAAGGCAGGGACTAGTAAAGTAAGTACCTCCTCTGATCCTTGAATCCTCTCCATCTCAATCTGGGACAAAATAATTTTCTTCTTCTTAGCAGTACATGTCTCCATGGATTGCATCAGCTGCCGTTCCAAGGTTTTGATGTCTGCTTCATCAATTTCCCTGCAAGTTATGATAGTTGAAATGACCAGTATAACATCTTAAAGATGTAGATCAAAGTTAGTCGTCAGAAGTGAAAATACAATATTGATGAGATAAGCTCCAAACCTGATGAAGAGCGACAGATAACTGTATGGCAGATTGACAGCACCAAAACCAGAAAGAACAGCCATGACACTCACTCCAATCACCCCAATCCTACTGACCAACTGTGGCATCGTAAAAAAACCTGCACGATGAACATGATGTCAAAAAATATGACACAACTAGGTATGAATTGAGCAACAAACAATTGGCTAGCATACAAAAAGGAATAAGCCAGAGATCAATATCCTAAGCTGTATTACTTAGTACAATCAATAGTTTGCAACGGCAACAAACCCTTCTCCGGTGAAGGCATGGGGAAGTGAATCCCCATGCGCCAGAACCCGTATAGGAAGACCAGCAGAAAGAGCGCCGCGACGAGCCACGCCCGCTCCCTCCTCACCCCTGCAGTCAACAACCGATGAGCCGATCAGGACAGCCGCACACCCCACATAGGGAGAGAGAAACGAAGCAATGGGAGATTGATTGGGAGCCGGAACCTGAGTTACGGAGCAGAAGATAGCAGTGGTAGTAAGGGAGTACGAAGACGAGGAGGAGGATGAGGCAGAAGAGGTCGAGGTGCCAGTTGAGGAAGCGCGCATGCTTGGAGAGGACGGGGAGGATCTCGAAGAGAACGAGCTCGAAGAGGTTGCAGGAGAAGGCGAAGACGAGGCCGAAGAGGATCTGCACCAGCACCCGCCGCTCCTCGTACTCCTTGTACAGCCGCCGGTTCAGGAACCACAGCCCCGCCCAGCCCAGCCCCACCAGCGACGAGCCGACGACCGTGCCCTCGTAAACCACTGTGCCCCACCCCATCCCTTACTGTATTCCTCGCGCGCTGCGGTCACCCTGTGCTGAGCCGGCTGCCGCGACGGTGGCCGGCGAGGAGAGTTTCGTCGGAGTCGGATCTCGTGGGAATTGGGGGAGGCGTCCGTAAGACTCTGCCGGTGGCGTCTCCCCTCCCCCACCGGGAACCCCTGCCGCGGTGATGCGCCGTTCGTGGGCCGGGCCGGATTTCAAGCCTGATGGCTAATTGGTGGTACTGCAAGGACTTTGCGTGCGTATGCCTTCTCTCCCCGTCTATACGGGCTTCGGCGGTAATATATGGGCCGGACACATAAAAACCTACTTTTCGTGGGCCGTCCTCGGCTCTTCTGTTGGAAGTTTGACTCAGTGTGGACCAGCCCAACAAGATGCAACCAGCATGCATGATGACTCTTGTGGTCCTGCGGCCGTATTGCGTCGTGTTCAGTGTTCTTTCTCCGAGGGTCAGTGGGCCAGCTGAGCCCGGGCCCGTTAATCTTCACGTGGACTTGTTGTCGTGGACACTTGCATGATCCAACGCCGGGACCGGCCATCCGTACACCGGAGACCACCACTGCTCCGCGAGACGCAACGAGTTGGCTTTTCTCCCTTGTCACCAACGACCGCTACGACATCATTTCATCCCCTCTCCCAACCAGATCCACCAGACTACCCCAGCGCCCGATCGGCCGTCAGCAACGCAGGCGACACAAGGCAGCGGCTCGAAGCAATCTGGATGGATGGCTCATGGTCATGGATAGATCGCACGCTCCATCAAACCGGGGGACCGTTCGTGCTTTCTAGTCAGTAGTCACCACTCGCCACCAAACAAAAGTCCGACGACCTAACTCCGTCCTACACCAGGCATGCCACTGTCATCGACGTGCCCTCGCGCGATCCCGGCACGCCCGCACTGGCCTACGCCTACGCGTCCCCGCAAGCTTTAGCCGTCGGTCGTGCCGGGAGAGACGCGAGACCACACAGCCGGCTCGCTCGATCGGTCACATGCGTCCGCACCGTGTGTCCATGCTGATCCGCGATTCCCCCAAAAGCCCAAAGGCGTCAGCGTCAAGAACGGGACCCGATAGAGCACGTGACGCGAATCGCACCAGCCACCAGGCAAGTCCTCACCCACCGTGCCATCGTAGTACAGTGGCACTGCCTTGTCCGGCGGGCCTCATCTCAAGTTCTGAGCTGTGCTGCGTTTGCTCCCTGGATCAGAGAACTAGAGCGTGCAACGGTGCAAGGACCCACGTCCAGGGTTACAGCCTGTTCCGCCACCAACTCTGGAAGCTTTGCGACAGATCCAGCGCTACGCTTTTCTTCTCCGAACACCCACGACTTCGACCTGACGGGTGCCCATGAGCTTCGCCTATGCATTATGTTCCCTTCCGCCTCAACACGTCAAAGCGATCATCAAAAAAGCAGCATGGCGGTGGAGTTTGCCCATAACCACAAGCAACAAGCAAAGGCAGGCTGGCAGCAGATTAAAAAAGTTGTCATGTCACGTTTGTTCGTGCAACTTAAGCTAAAGCTCCGCTCGCTGCTCTTAGCGAGAGAGGGATAGCAAGTTTTGTTTCATGTTTCCTGATGAGTTATTGGCTAGACCCAAAACTCATACTGACATACTGTCCACGGTAATGTGAAGTGCAGGGAACATCTTTGAGTTATTACTGATTCATGCAGCGATAAATCTCTCACATGCAGTGGAGCCAGAGAGGGACAGAGACACTGATCACGGAGTAGCAACTAGCAAGAAACAGAGCTTTCAAATTGAAAAAGGTCAAATAAACAACCGTGCCACAGACCATCCACTTCATACAATTCCAAACGGGTAAAGAACATGAAAAGAAATAGCATTACATAAGCATATTGTTCGAAAATTTAGGAGCATGATACTAGTAGTGAAGTATTTGTTGACGCCTCAAGATACGATGAGGCCAGCACCAAGGAGTCGTCAGCTCTGAGACGTTGGGATCCACATGGTACTTGTTCGTCTGCAAGGCCGTGCTAGATTTAGAAGGTTTGCAGAACGAAAGGATCAAAACCTGAAAAAAGAACTGTGCTTACCTTGACGGTATTCCATTCGGCGATCTGGAGCTGGTGTTGGAGAAGTCAGAGGTCGCCATGGGAATGGAGATGGAGAGCTGGGTGGCCGAGAAGCCAAGGTTGTTGTCCTCAGGCAGCTCTGGCCACGACTCCCTTGACTTGGGCCATTCGTCGAAGAAAGGGCGCAGCGTCTGGTTCTCCTGCTTGGCGGTCACAAAGTCACTCCCGAAGAAAGAGAGAGGCTCCCTCTGGGTCTTCGGCAGTGAGGCGATGGTGCTCTCATCCAGACCGCTCAGCGTGCCGAACAGAGGGTAGCTTGTGGCTTGAAATGTGGTGGTTTGGGATGGCAACAGGCGCCATGAGTTGTCCATGGATGTATCCATGCTGCCGGGCAAGAGCTGGCTGTGCTCATCCGACAGAGATTTCACCCCATATGCAGCGTACCTGGATTTCAGATGCCACAAGGAAATGTCAGCAAAAGTAAGCACGTCAGTCTAGAGATCAACATGATCCACCAGCAAATGGACAAACTCTTGTTGGTCACTGAAACAGTTGTTGTATTATTGGTTGTGCTATTGTGTAGCAGGAATTCTCTGAAAAGCATGCAGCCATTCATGACAAAAGACAGAGAAACAACAGTGGGAAGACCAATCATGTAAGCAAACACAAAGATCATGTGCCCTGCAGGTAACCCTACAATGACAGAGCTTGGGTAAAGCAGTGTAAATTTGCAAAGTGCCGAGGGGTGCACAAAAGCTTCGGCGTGGGCGTGCAAAAGGAGATGGCCAAAGGATACTATCAATCTATCATGCTACTAGCCTTTTCAGATTTATTAGGTTCCAGGCACATGGATGAGACGTTTCCAGCAGAAAAACAAAAAAACACGCCAGTTTTCTGTGAGCAGTTCTGCCGTTATTTCCAGTCCGACAACGAGCATGCAGCGCAAGGAGAAAAACAGCAGCAGTCCGCAGAAGAATAATAAATGTGGAGGTCTAGTACGACAGAGCAGGAACATAGAGATGCAGGCACTAGTTCTGAACATAGAGCCCAGATGTGTTTCATCATCACGATCTGTGAAGGATGATGGAACACCCTGCTCTGCGTACCAGAAAGCATCATCTTCTCAGGATGAAATCAGGTCCCAGAAAGCATGACCAGATCAAAGGGAGCAGAGGCAGAGGGCTAAGCAGAGATGACTGATTTTTTTCTGTGGTAGTCCCGAGTGCAGAGGCAGAGATTTTTCAGTTCTTCGCTACTACTACTTGTCTGATGACAGATCTCAGATAATAACTGGGGCAGATAATAAAAAGTGCTTCTAGTGCTGCACTACTCACAAGTCTGATCCACACTGCTGTCTAGTGTCCGTATTACTGAATGCAAATCATAAAAGCAATCTATCACATGACCACAATGATGAAACAATGCATCACAAGTTCACAACAGATTAGCAGGCATTCATCATCCAACGGATGCCATGACCCATCTGACACCGATCAGGGAGCCTAACACCATATACTAGTACTAAACAGTGGGATATGTGACACAGGTTGCAGAAAACATAAAGAAACTCACCTGAGATCTTTGCTCCCTCCACCAGCAGCAGTCGCGTAAGCAGCAGCACTGTCCATGTGCAGCTGAGAGGTGGGCCCCATGCCGAACGTGCCACCACCACCACCTACTACCCCGCCGCCGCCGCCGTTGGCGGCGAGGACCGACGGGTACAGCGAGTGGTTCTGGAAGCCAGCAGCTGGCGCGGGGGCCTGCTGCTGCTGCTGGGGGGCGGGCGGCGGGGGCACGAGCTGCGCTTCCACAGGCTTTCTTGAACGGTTGCGGCCGCGGTGCATGTGGCGCTCGCAGTACTTGGAGTCCGGGGCGGCCTCCTTGGAGCACCGCCACTTCTTGCCGTCCGTACGCCGGCACCGCCCGGGCTCCGGGTCCACCTTCTTGCCGAAGTAGGTCCCATACCCAACTGCAAGGAAACAACACACGCAAGAGGAGTGAACCCCAGTGAGTCAATGGCTATGGCTGGCACGATGCGCATACTACATGTGTACGTGCGTACGAACACGTTTTGTGTCGGTGCGTATTTGGAGCCGGGGAGCAATACCGGAATGGGCACTTTTCCAATCAGACGAAAGAACCAAAAATGAAACGCGTCCCATCTTTGCTCATCCAACCAGACCAAAGAATCAACCAAATATGAAACGCGTCCAATATTCGGCACAAGTTAAATCACACAAGAAGCAGATCTACCGACTACCGAGTCATTTTTTAGGCTTTATTTATTTACCCCCAAGAAAGCAGATGGAAGGGAAATGGTTGGAACTGTATTTTGGGGGTCCATTAGGTGCACTGGTGCAGCGCAGATGGCTAAACCGCAGCAGCAGTGGGAGCGTGGTTAGGCTCCCAACAACCAGACAGGAATAATCCCCAAGAAAAAGGACCAATCATCTATAAACTAACCACCGCTTTTGGCCGGAGCCAAGCCTGGCATCTTATCTAATCACATCGAACCAATAAATAAACTCCATTAGAACATGTGGCTAAGCTATGGTGGAGAGCACATCTTGAGCTCCTCCGGATTAAAAAAACGCTACCTAGCCTTTTGGGACCGGATCCAGGACGAGATTATCAAATGACCGGAGCCGATTAACAAACGGACGGGGAGGACACCTGAATCCCTCGATCCGAATAAACAACCAGATCACTGCATGGACGACGACGACGACGACGCCGTCGTTGTGCAATGCAAAAGCGTTAAGCGTGCGTGGGAAGGGATGCGGAGGCGGCGCGGGGCCGTGCTTACGGGCGGGTTGGTGGTAGACGAAGGCTCGGCGTAGGGGGACGAGGAGGTCCGGCGGGACGGACACGCCGGCGACGAGGTACTTGTATATGAGCGCCTGGTGCTCCAGCTCCTCGTACTGCGCCGCCGTGAAGAGCGCCGGCCTCGCCGCCCACCTGCCGCTCATCGTGTGCTGCTGTTGCTGCTGCTGGTGGTGCTGCGCGGCGTCCTCCCCCACCCTGCAAAGCAAAGCTCGCCGCATTAGATACCTGGAGGAGTCTGCGCGCATCCGGGTGGCATAAAGCAAGCGAAGAAGAGGGGGTTTCCCGGACGGGAGAAGAGGAGATGGCTTACGCGGAGAGAGGGGCGGCGCGGCAGAAGGGGAGGAGGGAGGAGGGGCGGTGGCCGGCTGCCGGAGACAGGGAGGCAAAGGGCATCGCCATATATGCTCTTCTCTCTCTCTCTCCGCTCTGCCGCTGCTCCGGCCTTCTCTTTTAATGTGCTGTGCTTTCGCCTTTTACCTGGCTGGCTCTGTCTCTTTCCCTCTGACTAGCTCGCTCTGGGCTGTGCCTGTGCCTACGCCGAGCAGGGCGGCTGCTGTGCGTGGCTGCGTGCTACCACTCGCTGCCTGACGAGGGGGGCGGGGCGGAGGCGAGGTGAGGTGCGGGACGGACGGACGGGGGCAAAGGGCAAATGGCCTGGGCCTGGCTGGGCTAGCCCTTATAGGCGACCGCAGCCGCGCTGCGCATGGCAGGGCGGTCCGGCGGTGGGATGAGGCCGACACGGAAGGGTTCCAGCTAAGGGACAAGCACCTGCCTGCAGCCCCCTGTACTACTGCGTCTCCCTTCCTTTCTCTCTCATCGACGATATTTCTCGGGCCCTCCCTCCCTCTCTCCACATGCACAGTCATACCAGCTGACCACACAATACGGCGATAGAGGGCAATACATACAGTACACGGGACAGCATTTGTGGTTAATACTGTAGGAGAAAATAGGTACAGTAAGCACGTCTGAGCCCACGTTTAGTTTCAAACCAAATTTTCAAAAATTGCTACAGTATCCATCGCATCAAATCTTGCGATACGTGCATGGAGCATTAAATGTAGACGAAAAAAAACTAATTGCATAGTTTTGTTGAAAATTACGAGACGAACGTTTTGAGCCTAATTAGTCCATGATTAAATACTAATTGAAAAAAAAAAACGAAAATGCTACGGTAGCCCCAATTCCAAAGTTTGGGTAACTAACCGCGGCCTGAACATGCAGAGAAAGTTTGAAGTTTGAACATCATTGGTACGGTTAATAACTAGGGGTACTAATAAAGTTCAAAAAATAACTAGGGGGTACTGGTGACAAAAAAACGTACTACACCGCGGTCAATTTCAACTGATGGGCGAACAAAAAGCCAAACCGATGCGTACGTACGGGCACTTCACGTGCCCGCAGAGCCGCAGATGCAACCGCACCGCACCAGTCTCGCCATCGGCAGCCACCCGGCAACGATTAGTCGATCAGGCCAGGCGACGCGCACGACGACGACTCCTAACTGCCGGACGTTTTGGTTCGCTTGCAGCGCAGGCCTTTGGCCCCGCGCGGCGGGGACATCCACGATCCATGCCATGCGACAGGGGTACGCGCAGGTGAGGCGCCAGAGCAGCCGCTGGTTGTTTAACGGCTTGCGCACCGCGTCGCGAGCCTCCTACTACTTCTAGTAAACGATCTTAAATTTCCAGCCGCTAATCGTGTTTTTCTCTCACCCCAAACCAGTCAGCAGTAAATAATCCACGATATGATACGGCCTCCCGAATAGGCTGTTCGGCGATGTTTGATCAGGGACAAAAGTGGGGGAGAGCTGCTTTCACCGGCTGTGGGGGTGAAAAATTAACCGCAATGCCATCCATTATGTGCGTACCGGTTCGATTTGCTCGCGACTCGTCTTCTTCCGCGTGAAAGAAAGAGCGCCGCTCCTCCGCAAGCAGGCTCGGGCCGGCGGCGCATCTCCCCTCCGGCAGCCCTCTCCCCTCCGTCGGCGCCCCTCTCCTCCGCAAGCAGGCTCGGCCAGTGGCGCATCCCTCTCTCCCACTTGCTCGCTCTCACTCTCCCTCTCTGTCATCTCCCAGGCGCGCACGCCATTGCCTCCCGCACGAGCTCCGCCGGCCAAATTCGCCACCACCAAACCGCCTCCGCCCGATTCGCCACGCACACAGCTCCGCCTTGACTCCCTCCTTCCTCCCCACTGGTTTGCGCCGTCGCTCGTCTAGGGTTGAGGCCCCTCGGGCCGGTTTTCGCCGCCGTACCACCATTGCCGCCCGAGCTCAAGCTCAGCACAGCCAGGCCATCTCCGGCCGTTTCTCTCCCTCCTAGTGCTTGGATCTGGGTGTGGCCCCATCCCTGGCACCGGTGGCCGCGGGCGCAGCCCTGTCCCCAGCACCGGCGGGCGCTGGCGCGGCCCCGTCCCGTCCTCGGCACCGGCGGACGCGAGCTGCAGCCCTGTCCTAGGCTCTGCAGGCTCGCGGGAGCACCGCCCCTCACCGGCCTCTTGTTCCCTGTGCTCATGGACAGAACAAGACGCGTATAGAAAAAAAAACATGAGAAAAATGTGTTGGGTGGCTGACAAGTGGGGTTGGCTGAGACCTGAGACCTGCTAACAGCTGCTTTTCCAAAATGCTACAACCGCTCAACCAAACGGCTTTTGGTTTTGTCCATAGCTCACATCTCACAGCTCCTTTTCCAACAGCTACAGCTCACAATAGCTTTATAAAAAGCTACAGCTCAATCAAACATGCCCTCAGGCGTCAGGCATTCACTAACAAGTCAGACAACAGCAAGTCAGCAAGGAGTGATGGCCTGATGGACGCACCATACTCCTACAAGGCAGCGCGCGCGTATGCACGCACCGGCAGCACCGCGCAGCAACTTCTCGTTACAGCCTTCCAGGTACTGTGCAATACGTGACATCTGACAAGAATGTTACTGTGTGCATCAGGTAGGACCTTGTTTAGTTCGTCCTAAAGTTTACTCTCCATCTTATCGAATAGTTGGACATATACATGGAGTATTAAATATAGATTAAAAAACAACTAATTACATAGTTTTTGACTAATTTACGAGACGAATCTTTTAAACATAATTAGTTCATAATTTGACAATGTGGTGTTACATTAACACATGAGTTAATGACTATTAATTAGATTTAATAAATTCGTCTCCTAAATTACTGACGAAATCTATAATTTATTTTTTATTAATATCCACACGAATATCCCGTAACACCCAAAACTATAGCACTCCATCTACGCAAGTCTACGCAGAGCTCCGCAAAAGAAAATAGGTAAAGCTGCAACGAAACCGCTAGCCTGCTACTCCAGTGCTACTACTGCTACGGGCCTATGCATACGTAGGCCATAGTCTATCTAAAGATATGAAAATTGCAAGGCATATGCATACACATCTGGACCCAGGAGTCGGGAGCATGTGTTAGGTGCGGAGTAAAGTTTAAGGACATCATGTCTCGTCACATTAGGGTATTACGTTAAGAGAGTATTTGGTTCATTACTCTATTTGGTTCATTACTCAACTCCTAAATCTAGTCTCATTTAGTTATTTTTACTCAAACAACTATATAGGACTAAAAAATATATTAGCCAACCAGTCATCCAAGCATTGCTAAATAGAACTAAAACCCACCTTTTAGTCAAGCTGCATCAGCTTTTCCTCACTTTGGATCAAACACCTTAACTTAAAGAAACTAAAATACCTCTTTTAGACCACCAAACGGGTGACTAAACTTTAGGAGCTGGTTTATGTGACTAAATTTTAGGAGGTGTAAACCAAACACGCCCTAAATTATTTGAATAGTAATAATAAAATAAATTACAGAAGTTGTCAGCAATCCGCAAGACAAAGTTTTTTATTAAACTAATTAGCATACATTGTCAAATCATGAAATGATTAGGTTTAAAAATTTCGTCTCGTAAATTAGTCACAATTTGTGTAATTAGTTATTTTTTACTCTATATTTAATACTCTCTACATGTGTCGAATATCCGATTTGACAGGGAGTAAACTCTAGGGTTCTGTGCTACACCGCAGCAGCTCCAAAAGATCTGCAACGCAGGCGGATAAGATCGTAAGACTACTAAACTACTATAATAAGATAACGAAGACGATTTGTAATGGACAGCAGCACGTATCGCATTCATAGATAAGGGTTTGGAGTTGTGGATTAGCACCCGTTCGTTTGATCTAATAAGTTATACTTATCAGTTATAACATAGTATTTTTTTATAATAAAATAATATCAACTGACTTATAAACCACATGAACGATCATACGACCAGGGTAGCATGATCCAGTGAGCCCCCATGGCCATGGCCACCTCATCGCTGGGGTCATGCATGGTTCGTGGTACGCTGGTCAGGGGCTCAGGGCACCTGTACGCGACGGGCCCCCGCGCTGCCGCGGCTTGTATCCCGCGTCCACGACCATGTGGGGCGCGCGTAGAGGTGCTCGCCGCTGGTTGGGCATCGCAGGACAGCTGGTACACGTGATGGACCGCGAGGAGGCAAGCTTCCCCTCCAGCTGCGGACAAAGGAGGCGGGCGCCGCCGCTAGGGTCCCGCTCCCGCAGCCCGGCGCGCTGCTTGGCTCACGCTCGTAGCCGCTGTAAATTTCGCGTTTTATTTTTTGGCTGATCCCTTCAATGGTGAAGATGTGTACCATTTCGGTGTGAATTTCGGTGGTTCACATTTGCCTAGTTCAATGGTGAAGATGTGTACCTTTCCAAAAAAAAAATGGTGAAGATGTGCGAGATTTTTACCGCTTCACCGCTTTCATTAGCATGCCTTTATGGCATCACGTGAGGATTCAATACTCCGTAGCTGCGAAGAGAAAAAAGACCAGGGCCATGTTTAGATTGAAAAAAATTTCAACCCGATGAATAATAGCACTTTCGTCTTATTTGGTAAATATTGTCCAATCGTGGACCAACTAAGCTCAAAAGATTCATCTCGTGATTTTCAACTAAACTGTGCAATTAGTTATTTTTTTTACCTACATTTAATGCTCCATACAAACGGCTAAAAATTGATGTGATGAAGAGAGAGTGAAAAAACTTAAATTTGAAGATGATCTAAACAAGGCCCAGTTAATTGTTCTAAAGCAAGTCATCGGTCTAGGGCTCCTATCACAAAGCACAGCAACTCTCATGCTCCTATGATCCTATCCTATCGAACCTAGCTACAGGACAGTAGGACCTACAGCAATGTGCACCGCGTTGCTTTCTCACTGCATGAGCGCCGAGAGCGACTCTACGTTCGTGGCATCGAAGCCACACACGCACCTTTTTGTTGACTTGTAGGACAAGGGAGAGCCAGCGTAGAGGCCCGATTTTCCGTAGACAGTTGGCACGTTAAATCGTGGGTACAGTGTGACAAGACGGAA